CAAGTTTAAAGTCGATTTTCCTTTTAGCTACATAGTGGAGTCTTTGTTGCATATCGTGAGAAATACAAAATCTCAGTCAACGTATAAGATGTACGACATATATTTCTCTAAATTCAGAGATTGGTGTTCGAAGCATTCATTTATGCATCTTTCTGCATCAGTGTCTACTGTCGCTACTTTTGTGGGAGGTTTGGTGCAACAGAGGGTATTAACATCGGTTCCGGAAGCGTATTTCTACAGTATAAGTCGGACTCATTAATTTTTTTCTTCAAACTTGAATCAATGCGAGGATAAGTTTCTCTGTGATGTGTTTATTGTGTTTTTCTGGTATGAAATATTTGATTATGTGATACCAATTGGGGAAGTGCTCACATCGAAGTTGATATTCCCAGAGGCAAAACGGATATCTACAGGAGAGGAAATTCAGTGATATACGCAAAAACTGGAAACGATTTTTACCCTGTGTTTTGGTTAAACATCGACATGTCTGAGATGGATAAGTCTTCCAATGATCACATGTTTACAGATGTAAATTTTGTAAAATCCCTCAATAAATGCAAAGTTTCAAATAAACTCCACCCTCTGCCATATACAAGAGCTAGGAAAATATTGTTGTCTTCTTTAAATGAAATTGGCCTTGACAGTTTTAAATATGCATTACACAGTTTACGTAGCGGCGGAGTTAAAGCCGCTGCTAACAATAATGTGTCTGTTCAATTGCTTAAAGTACATGGTCGGTGGGTCACGGATAAAGCCAAAGACAGCTATATAAAAGCCAATCTTGAACATAAAATTCTGGTTTCAATGTATCTTGGATTATAAAATTATTTTAATTTACTGCACCTACTGTCCTTTGTTTAATGCGATTTGTAACGAACGCAACAATCCTACAGTATACTCTTTTTCTTTGTTTTTCAATAAATTAGTCAAGAAAATATTTATTTTCGGAGGAGTGAAACGAGGGAGAAAATAAAGTTTGTTTTTAACAGGAAAGGGAGAGAACAATAAGGAAAACATCAGGATATGACGACAATGTCACCCAAGGCTTAATTTCCAAAGTGTAGGACTGTGGTGCTTTATCGATCCAGCTTCCTGACCACGGTAAGGCACTCATGACTGTGACAGATACTGCCTTATTATCACATTGAAGGTAAAAAATTCAAATATCATAATCTCCTTCAACACAAAAAACAGTATCAAATGTAGGACAGATCAGGAAGTGCGTGCATGATATTTATAAACAACAGTATGGCTAGATGTAAATTGTGTTATGTCATGATACACTTAAAGTGTATCATGATTCATATCAAAACATGGAAGCAAATTGTAAAGGGGGGAGCTCAACCAACAAAAAAGGTTAAATCCAAATTTTCAATGCCTATATATTTTAATGTCTATTTTAAATTTGCAAAAAAAAAGGGGGGGCTAAGCCCCCCCCCCTTTCAAGTTCCAACACCTATGCTAAATGTTACAATTCAAATTTTTCAAATAAAGTTTTCTTTGTTCTGATATATGAAATTATGAATCTCATTTTCTAAGATAAAAAAATCTAAAATGAGGTTTATTCTATCAGTTCACAAATATAATGATGTAACAGTTCTGAAAACTGTACATTACAATAAATACAACAAAAGTAAATAATTAAAGTGAAAACTCTTTAATTAGGTTAAAGGACTAAAAAGAAATGGCATACATTGTAATATCCCTACACTAGCCACAGTTTTATTTTTTTTAGTATAAAGTAAGCTTGAGTAAATCAGGAAAATGTTACATCGTAATGAATTGTATTTGACTTGTTATGCCCCCATATTCTTATTTTTTTGCCCTGTTTATCCATCTGTCAGTCTCTCTGTCTGTCTGCCTGTTTGTCCACAAAATCTTGAACGCTACTCACATTTTGATAAGTGGGTTTAAGCCTCTATTGCTTTCATATTTCACGTATGTATTCATTATATAGAGACCTTTCTGTGGGTAAAACCAAATTTTGACCTTGACCTTTGGATCTTGACTTGCATTTGAAAAAATTCAATATTTGCCATAAGCTGCCATGCAGGGAATCAATGTTTTGCAAACATCTTGTTTCTGATATATGTATCATGATGCAGTTTTTAAACATGCAACTACATGTGCATGACATTGTGTTTATTGTCTAATTTGTTGGAATGACTTACATTAATCTGTTATTCATAAATATAGATGCATATTAAAATGTCTATTTTTTTATCTGTGTGTAAAAGTAAATAAACAGTGTGAGAAGTATGCATTTAATACCATTCATTTCAATTTATTTTTCAGACTGATTTTTGAAGGACCTTTTTACCTAAAAAGAAATGTTCAGTGTTTCAAGCATACAACACCCTACCATAAAATTATATATGATATTTAAAGACAAAAACAGTGGATATGATCTTCAGAGACAAAATGAGCCACCAAAAGAAGTCACTCTTGTTGAACTAGGAAATTTTTTCACATATATCATTGTTTTACACATACATGTGTACATATTTTTAAGTACAAGTAAATATTCAACATATTTTTCTTTTAATTTGAAAACATGTAGAGGCAAATGATAAAATAATCACATCAATGATTCATTGTGTTGTTATATCTATGTATCAATCATAACAAGTCTGATATCAAAATTCTATAGTGTATCTATTTTGCTAAGATTTTCATTATTAAACAAGTCCATCAAACCTTTGCTGTCATACAGAGATTATGTTTTTTACTTTGAAATGTCATGAAGATTCCGCTTGAGATACATTTCTGCTCTTTACTAACTCAGATTGAATGTGGAAAAAATACAAAGATTCAGAAAAAAACCCACCTTCTTTTAGTTGTGAACAATGTTGACATGAGCAAATATGTGCTGCCCCCCTTTATATTGAGTTTATTATATATATTATAAATGGTTTCTTTAAAACTGACTTAAACACATAAGGATAAAAATGAGGTCAAGGTCAAAAGAAAGGTCAAGATCAGAATTGTTGATGCAGTTGAATTGCTAACATCTATCATCATATTAAATTTGATGAAAATATCTTGAATAGTTTCTTTAAAACTTAGATTGAAAAGAGCTAAACACCAAGTGTAACAGAAAGACGGAAGACGGACAAGACAAACATTATGCCCTGGCCATATGCATGGCAAGGCATAAATATCGTTTTCTCAAGATCTACTTGGCCAGAAAAGCTGAAACTTATGTGGAAGTATCCTTGGGTAGTGTAAATTTTAAATTGTTCAAATCATGACCCCTGGGGATTGAGTGGGGTCAAAATAGGTATTACAAGGGGGAAATCTGGTTAGTCAAAGCTTCTCAGGTGAGTGATGTGGCCCATGGGCCTCTTGTTTAAAAATTGCTGGAAACACTGAGGTTCTTAGAGCAATAATCAGGCGCAAAGCAATTTTAAAAGTTGTATGAAAAGGGGGAGGGCATAGCAAGTTAAACTAAAAAAAAATACCAAAAAATTTTACAAGCATAAGTCGGATTGGAAAGTAGATGGGTGCATGGTGACTGCATTTTAAAACTAATAAGTAAAGAATTCTGAATATTCTCACGGACTCCGATGTTTTAAAGTTGTACGGTAGCATTGCCATTGGAAGAAACGAAAAATCATTTTATCCAAATCAGAGAAAGATTTTCTACAAACGATGGAGACTCTAAAAATGTCCGTAAGTGGTATTTTTTTTTCGGTCAACGCAATACATGCTACATGGAAACTGCACTGGGACCGACTTATTGAGAAGTTTTGATGAATCAAGATTTATATAAAATGACGACCGATATAAATGCTGGTACAGAATTTTAATCAAGTGCATTATAGAGGAAGGGGAGGGGAGGGGAGGGGGGGGGGGTCTGAACACACATGTAACATTTACTGTTGAAATTGTTCACTGAAAGGACACCCCTTATATCTTGAAGTATACATGTATTCATTCAAGTTGGCATAGTTACAACATTTGTTTGTGGGAAAAGTTAGAACAAAAAAAATGGTATGATAATATAAGTTTGTAGTCATTTTTTTAGTCGGCTCGCAGAGCGAGTTACTTACTCTTTTTTTTTTTTTTTTTTGGCGGGGGGGGGGGGGTGTATTGAACAAAAAAATCAGTCTGCCCGCTTATATTTTATAACGAAATCATGTTCTTGTTTTATCGATACTGAAAAAAATGCAAATTGAATTTTGATTTAATATTTGTTTACTTCCTCAATTATTTCGTTGATATTTTCCCCCCAATTCTAAAATCGGGCGTATGAAAAACAATCGTCTTTATTCATATAATTATATATTTTTTAAAAAGGATGGAGAGGAGAATAGAAAGATAAAACAAAAAAAAGAAAAATATTCTTAAGCATTTTAATTATCGTGTATAATAATTCCTGACGAATTTCTCCGTTTTACAATAAATTGGCGTCAATATGTAATTTTAAATTTTATTTACCTATTCAAACAAACCAGAAAATAAACAGGCTGTTTGCATACAGCTTGTTAGTGTCAGATGGGCCTAATGTTTTTATCTGAACTAAAATTATTAAATGCAAATTGAATTTTGTACTTAGCACTTAGATATCATTTTTTATAGACATTAATATCTCGTATGTACATGGTACATGTATATAAACCATGATAAACATGACAACTTGAATATTTAAATAATAAAAAAAGATATTAAAACAGGGTTTCGCTAATGTTTATATGTATTTTCATGTATCAACAGAATTTTACTTGCATAATCAGATACAATTTTTAGATCTAACTCAGCTGCTGTAGGCACAGGACTTCATTTTGCATTCTCTAAATTTTACCGCGCCTTTTTTAACTGTGACGTCACGCAGTCAACCACGGATCAACGAGGTCATATCAAAAGGCCTGTGGCAGCAATGATATGGAGTTGTAGCGTAACGTAATACTGAGCTGTCTGGAGCTTGTTACCAGTGACGTCACTGGAAAGAGAAGTCTGACGTCTGCCAAGTTCTAGGGCCAAGCTAACGGTGAGGAATGCATAAAATCAACAATTATTATTTTTTTATTTAATTACTTTATGACCACTGATGACTGTGTGTTGCATGTAAACTAAGGGGGTGTTTTTTCATGCATTACATAAAGGAGACTTGGGTTATCAAAAACAGAAAATATTGACCATGTTGAGGCAGTGAGCTGTTTGGTCAACAAGGGCACGTCATGTATCAAAATGCAGGTGAAGTTTAAAAATACTGTAATAACAATTAAGTATTTATTTGAAATGTTTTTAACCTAACAAATAAGATGCAAAGAAAAAAAAGAAACAACATCAATTTGATGTAAAGTTCCAATCACTGAATGTATTTCTTTTTGCGGTGTATTTAAAACATCACATTACTTATGGTAAAGGAAATCATTCTCTTTGAGGGCAATAATGGTGTAACAGTTTTGTTTTTACATAATTGTCTTTTTTCATCCTTATGAATATAAATTGTGTAAATGAGATTGTGTATTTTTATATTATTTTAGATATGCATTCCAGGATGGTGACTGAAGCTCATCTTTGTAAACACCTAAATGCCTAGAATGAACTTCAAAACAGATTCTGAAAGTTTAACCAGTATTAATCTTAAATATGGTAATTATAACTTTTAAAAAGGAATAAGATTTTCTGATCATATTGCTTTTAGACTTGTAAATACTACATGTAACTTGAAGCTTTCCATGTAAAATTTGAAATGCAATGGAGTTTGACCAATTTCACACTACTAAGAGTTATCTTCCCTTGTCGGCATAACTCTCATTTTTCCCACTTTGCCCTTTGTAAGTTACTTGTTGGGCTGTTATTATTTTCAATCTTCAAACGTTATTGGACAATTTAGATCTGTACCTGTATTGCCAAAGTTTGGGGCAACATGAAAATCTTAATGAACATATTCATTACAGATTTTATTTTTAAGATACTGAAAAATAAATTTGGTAAGGTTACAGAGGGAAAACAGGGCCGTACGCCGGATTGACCCCACATAGGGGAATAACTTTTGTAAAATTTAATGTGAAAGTTGTCTATTTTTTTTAACATATATTTTTTTTAACCTCAAGGACAAAAAGTATACACTTGGAACACACACAAAAACAGATGGGTCCATGCCAAGCTAAAGATAAATGCAGAAGGTAAGTTCAATTTTTCATTTCGTAACTTTTCTGGTTTTATCCAGATGGGACCTTAATTACATATAAGTTTAAGTCAGCTTCAGTATAATAGAAGGATATGGAGATAACGAACAGTATTCAACCTCAAAGTCCATAAAACTATACAAAATAAGAGCAGAGCAAACACGGACCCCAGAAACATCAGAGGTGGGATCAGGTGCCATAATAAAACACCTATTTACTTACTATTCGGAAAATAGCTTGTTTATCATCTCCCTTGACAGCAAACTATTTCCCTCGGCAGCATCTAGGGGAATAGTTGCTGTCTTGGGGGATGATAAACTAGCTATTGTCCTCATAGTCAGCAAATAGGTGTACCAGTACATGTATACTGTTTTTAGCTCTTCTGAGCCAAAGCCTTAAAGAGCTAATGCTATGGCCATATGTGCGGTGTGCATAAACTTTTTAAAATGTGGGCCATAACTCGAGATCCCCTTGGACAATCATTGTCAAATTTTTTACAGGGCATCATTGGCCCAAGGGCTACCATTTATACTAAAACTAGGGTTTTTTGGAGAATGTTGGAGGTCACCATGACCTACTTATGGTATTTTATAGCTCTATTGAAATATTTTTAGTCCTAACTGGCTAAGAATCATTAAACTTTCTCTGTTGATGTATTTTGGGTCTTATAAACTTAGAGGCTTCAAATACTAGCTTCGCGGATTATAAAGCGTAAACTGGCCCAAACCAGGTTTTCATCAAATAATTTGGCCAAGAATTATAGTCATTCCTTAAATATTTGACCTTGAACTTCTAGTTTAACGCACTGTTAAAAAAACTTTCTTTGATCTGAACTTTTGAGCTGATAGTAGTAGGGCTTTCATATTTCACAGATATATTCTTTGTGACAAGTCCTTCCTTGGATAACAACAATTTTGACGTTTGACCTTGACTGACTTGCATTAACCATAAGCTGGCATATGGGGTATCAGTATAAGTACAAAAAACCACATCTTTTTTTGCGAGTTCACCCACAAATCAATGCTATTTAATGAATTTTAGATAAGAGAATTACAAGATAGATATTTGAGGACATAGTGAAAAAAAATTTTAATGAATTTTAGATTATAAGAGAATTACAAGGTAGATATTTGAGGATATAGTGAAAAAAAAGTTTAAAAGATCATGGTTATGAATGCTAAAAAATTAATTATAGTTATTTAGTATTTATATTTAAGTTCTACAGGGAATTAACCAGGATTAATATGTGGATAATAATAATGTTCAGGGAAAAATGGGTTTTCCCTTATTCCATGCATTTAATATTTTCTTTTTCTTTACAGATAAAAGAGAACTGGAGAAGAATGAATTGATGTTAACATACTCAACATTAAATATGGCTTAAATCTTAATTTGTCTTTTGTTGTGATTGCTTCAAGAGCAATTAAGGATCAAGAAATTTAAAGTGAAGGATAACCAGAAGGTGGATCATTCAACAGATGAAAAAGAAATAAGCCTTTGAGGGAAATTATGTCAAATGCCTGAATTGAATATTTAAATTGCACGTAATTTTTGTTTTACCAACGTTTACAATATGTGAAAAAAATGTTCAAAACATGTGTTTAACCATGGTTTGACACATTTTTGTATGGTATTTAGACATTTACAATATGAGCAGTGCAAATAATAAACCCATTAAACATGTTATGAGAAACATATGTTACACACACGTTGCACGTACGTTATTCATATGTGAAACCTATGAGTAACGTACGTGTACAATATATGTGTAACGTATGGTAGGCAATACGTATGTTTAACATACGTGACACGCATGATATTCACACGCGTGAAAACATATAACGTACGTGGTATCTTTTTCATGGAAAACGTACGTGAAGTCACGTACGTGTCACATATGTTTAACGTACGTGGCACAATTAGCTGTGTAATACAAGTAATGCTGAATCAATTATTTCATACAGGTATTTTAACGTCTGAACATCAGCAGAATTTTTCAATTTAACGTTACTTTTCTTGTCAAAAATGCTACTATGTTTTTTTTTTATCGGCATCCTAATTTTGTCTAAGAAAAATGCCCTTCTTTCAAAGTGTTATATACTCACTTTAGGTGATTTTGGTCCTTTTGGAGATTTTCTATTTGAATTGTTTAGCTAAAAAACATCCATAGATCCATTTTTGGAGGATACAAACCTGAGAACCTGAAATTTGAAGATGTAGTCAAATCGTCAATGGAAAAAATATGAAGACGTTATTTATATTCTCTATATCACAATTATATAACAGGAAAATGTCCGATAAAAGAAAGTCATTATTTTATTAACATTCTATTATTCTGAAAAAATAAAAACATCAAAATTCGGAACATGTTTGTTGAAACATTATTAAAAATGTGTGATAAACCTAATGTCGTCTGATCATCATGACAGTTTTCTTTATATCTCTACCATTATCAAGTGTCGGATACCACGGATAGACCCAGTATGCTGGAGACCAGGGACCGTTAAGGTTGGCGTACTGACAATTGTTATACCACCAGCCTCCTCCTCCACAATAACTTACAGCACAACTACCACCATACCATCTGTCGTGGTCTCTGTCCAGGGTGGAGAACGACATCCCAGACAGATCTGAGTAAGAATCCCCCGTGTTTAACATACTGCCCCCTGTAAAATTGAAGAAAAGGAATAATAAAAAATATTACACACTAATTGACTTTTACGAGAAGCACTGACTTCTACAGTTGACGATTTACTTGGACATTTAAATTTGTATTGTGCACGGAGGTACAGAATTCATAATGCATAAGACAACCTTTCTAGTACTCATAAGTATGGTTTCAGGGGCACTAACATGTGAAGGCCGGGAGTTGAGGGTAAGGTGGTTGTCGTTTTCTTAAAGGTCAACTTATATGTGCATTGAAATAACCCGTTATTCTAATTGAATTGAAATCATGAACTACATAATTATTTATATCATAAAAGAAGTTCGAATCACAGGTTCGAATCCCACTGTGGGACGTGGAGACCGCTCCCTCGGATAAGACTGTATATGCCGAGGTCCCATGTCGCAGTACATGCTGGCACGAAAAAGATCCCTCCCTATTCAATGGAACTGAGAGCCGAGTATAGGACAAAATAAGCAGCTTTCCACCGGCAAGTGGTGGCATCTACATCTGAGTGTAAAATTCTCGAGAGGGACATTAAATAATATACAATCAATCAAGGAGAAGTTGATCAGTAAACTAGCCAAACCAGTCACCTATAACAATCTCAGAACTTTAGCTAAATGGGAAGACATCCAGTAATTAAGGTCAATAAAACACCGAGGTAAGCCTTACTAGAATAGGAGGATCAGAGAGGTTCGTATTCTTGCTACCTCCAACAGGCCGAGTAATGCCGAAGCCTTATTAGTCCACACTGGTAAAAATGTCAAATGTTGTACATTTCTAGAATCCTATAAGTCTGACCGTATCTGGATCCAATCATGATTTGTTTCTATATCTACTTCTCGTCCTTTGCTTACAGCGAACATAAATCTCTATTCAATCGTTAATTTACACGATCTGGTAAAAATTCTGTCTGAATATTAAGACTTGACTTTCTTCTGCTGAACTTACTCATTCGACATTTATATATTATATCAACAACATATTGTCAATTAACAAATTGAATAGTCATTCTTATGTCGATACGATATATCGCAATGATCTGTTTCATATTTGACTTACTTCACTCTAATACTACATATCAGCAAATGAAAAAAGGAATAATAAACTAGATTTTTGTTGACAAATTCACAAGTGTTCGTTTAATGTTCATACATTGTATTTTACTTTTCCCCTACCTAAAGTTCCCGTGACAGGTCCAGATAGAAACAGTTGATACTTGTCTGCTTCATCAGAAACAGAGAATTTGTCATACAGCTCATACAGTGTTGTACCAATAAATAACGTGATGGAGATGTAGAGAAAAGAGTTGTGTCCCTTTGTCAACTGGTGGATGACGTCATTTCCTTATTTAGGTACATATGAAATTCATTGATAAGTGTTCTTAAATACCATGGTATAATTATTTTTTCCATATTGTAAATAAATATATTTTAAAAGAAATCAATTATTAGCCTGAAACCTGACGTACTCTAACGTTATTTGATACATAACTTATCCTTTAGTGACTTTGGTATTAAATTGAACTCTTATTTGTGGAAAATGCGTATTACTAAATCAATATCTTTTTCTTTAATTCTAATAATTCTAACACTAGGATTGAAATGAATGAAATTTCGTCTAAAAATCTACAATATGAAGAGGTTCAATGAATTATATTCACCTATCCAGACATTCTGTTCAGGCGCACCAAAACCATTTTTATAGTCATCCCAACTCTTATCAAAGGTCAGGGAACCATCTTTTCGTTTTTGAATTGTCTTGAAAAGATAAAAACACATGATAAACCTGTGTATTATTTCCATGATCTATTTGACAAAGATAAACACATATAATTAACCTGTATCACTATTATTTGCTTGATCTATATGACAAAGATAAACACATATAATTATTAACATGATTAATCAAGCATCACGCCTTCCCTTTAGAAAAAAAAAACAACAAAAATTGCAGCGGTTAACAAAATCAATTATTCAAATCCATTATCCCAGTTATCCAATTGTTAGTCCATTATTTATACACTGAATTGACCACGGATTTTTTCCGTTATTTCCTAATTATGACAACGAGCACACGGCGGGTGTGACCGGTCGGCAGGGGATGCTCACTCCTCCATGGCACCTGATCCCACCTCTGATGTTTCGGAGGTCCGTGTTTGCTCTGCTCTTATTTTGTATATTTGTTTAATGGACGTTGAGATTGAATACTGTTCGTTATTTCCATATCCTTCCTCAAGAAAAGATATTTTGCTAACTATAAGATAGGTAATTTTTTTATACTCAACAGGTAATCATTTGAATTAAGGCAGGTTTTGCGGTTTGATGGATTGATTGATTGATTGTATATTGTTTAACGTCCCTCTCGAGAATTTTTCACTCATATGGAGACGTCACTGTATGCTGGTGAAGGGCTTCAAATTTGACCTTTACTCGGCACTCAGGGCCTTTGAGCAGTGAGGGATCTTTATCGTGCCAACGCCTGCCGCTGACACGGGGCCTCGGTTTTTAAGGTCTCATCCGAAGGACCCGCAACTTTCATTTCAAAGTGCCGAGCGCATGGCGAAGGAACAGTTGCTACCAATTTGAACGACTAGGTCAGTCGCGGCCGAGATACAAACTCAC